GGGCGCTACAGAAAGTAGCAGTGAAGATTGATAACTTTGGATTGGATTCTCAGCTCTGCCATCTACCTGCTGGGAGACCTGGAGCAAATCGCTTAACCTCTCTGGGTCTCGGCTTTGTAACAGAACAAGGAAAATAATAGTATCTATCTCACTGGGTTGTTGGAAGGATTGAATTAGAGAACCCACAGGAAGTGCTGACCACTAAGTCGTGTCTCTAACTGTTATTAGTACTTTTATGACCCCTAAGGCTCGTACAGGTTTAGAAACCACTGCTCTGAAAAGAGAAAGTGGGTGTCGTGTGCCCGAGTAGATGAAGCTGACTTTAAGAAAATGGTCCTTAAAGAAGAGCTCTGGACTGGTTTTGAAGGATTGAGGACAAGGTCTGCACAAGCAACGAGGGAGGGAATGAGTTGTTAGGGAAGGTGTTTTAAATCTTACAACAGACTTTACATCTTGTTTCACATAGGCCTTGCCTGATATCAGCTTTAAAGGAATATTAGCCTTAGTATTTATTATTAGCCCTAAAAATGATTCCCGGGGTACCTGGGTGGCTCAGTTGGTTGAGCGTCCAACTTCAGCTCAGGTCATGATCTCACAGTTTGTGAGTTTGAGCTCTGCATCGGGCTCTGTGCTGGCAGCTCAGAGCCTGGAGCTTGCTTTGGATTCTGTCTCCTTCTCTCTCTGCCCCTCCCCACTTGTGCTCTGTCTCTCAAAAATAAATAAATATAAAAAATTTTTTGTTTTAAATGGTTCCCATTTTGGGGTGCCTGAGCAGTTGAGGTCATGATCTCCTGGTTTGTGAGTTCAAGTCCCACCTCTGTCTCCCTCCCTCTCTGCCCCTCCCTCCCCCTCAAATAAATAAATATTTAAAAAAAATTATTCCCTTTTACAGAGAAGAAAACTGAGGCACAGCACCATTAAAGGACTTGGACACTAGTTAGGGCTTGGTCCTCAGTGGTCTGTACAAAGCCCACGGCTCAGTGGCTGTGTTGGGGCGCAGGACAAGACTCTGGATGCAGATATATAAGGGGCCTTGGCTTCACACTGGGACCCAGTGAGGCGTGGCCTGCACGGCTGGGAGGAGACCTTGTTCCCAGGCTTTCCAGAAGAAAGTGGGTGAGAAGGAAGGCGTGGGCAGGGAGCCATGTGTGCAGAAAAGGCTGTCACACAGCCAGGAGAGAAGTTCTCCAGGACATCTGCACCATTTCAGGAGGACAGCGATCCTCTGTGGAGCTATTCGGGGACCTTCAGCTCAAGCTCTACTAATGTTAAAGGAGTAACTTGCATTCAGGGCAATGGAGAAGGTTACTTCATGTGGTCAACGGGACAGGAACCCAAGGCTTGGGGCCAAGAACCAGGGTTCCACCTTCTGCTCTGGCCTTAACTTGCTTCATGGCCTTGGGAGAACCACTGCGTTTCTCTCTGGGTCCTTTCGTTTCCTCTTCTGTGTGAAGAAAATTTTAAACGGCATGCTTCAAAGTATTAGTGCAAAGAGGAGCTAGATTGTTCTTGAAAATAGTCGTCAAAAGGAGAATGAACGTGCTAAAAAATCCCTTTAAATCCAAAATAACCTCTTAAAATACAAAGCCCCAATGAAACCTTTTAACCTAGGGTCAGGAAAGTGAAAACCAGTTCAGACCGCATCATCCATCAGTGACTGAGCATGGGCTCTCTGAGACAAAGGTCCCAAGGTCAGCCCAAGGTCAGCACTCTGGGAACTTCAATCACAGGGCTATATAAAGATGAAGGGAAAAAAAATTATACCTATAATACCAAGGAGATATCCATTTGACTAATAATGGTAATAATGCCCTGGAAAGTAGGTATTGTTTTATTTCCATTTTCCAGATGGAAAATGAAATCTCAGAGAGATTGAAAATCTTGCCCACAATCACTCAGTTACTAAAGCCAGGGTTCAAGCTTGGGTCTGCTGACTCTCTCCTCTCCTCTTTCCCACAGCAGGAGAAGTACAGAGCAGACCACGAAAGGCAGACTTTTTGGGGGGAGGGGATGAGTAAGAAGCTGGGGACATCAGGGAAACCTCAAATTCTGCTGCGATCCAAGCAGCGTCTGGAGAAGCAAGTAGGATTTGAATTCGTGGGGAGAGGGGAGTGATGGTTATTCCAGGCACAGCAAAGGACATGAGGGATGTCAGTGGCTTAGTAAAAGCTCGGACAGTGTAAAGAGAGAGTTAGCATCTAAGGAGACTCGCAGATTCCTGGAATCCAGCTTCATGGAGGAACACTGCTCTGCCGTCAGTATGGACCAGGTGAGCATCACAGACAGCCTTCCCCTCCTCCAACAGTGAGCTTCGAAGGGACTAGAAACCTGCCCACACTGGGAGTAATGAACGCTCACTATGGGCACACTGTCAACCCCCCTTCCCCCCAAGAACTCTCATGGACTGAAGTCTACACCTCTCAGACCATCACACCCACTGTAGAGATGGGGGAGGGGAGCAGTTGGGTAAGACAGGTTTTGCGAACGTTATAATTGTGTGGACGCTGACCCTGCTGAGAACAGCCAAGATCCTCACTCCTGCTGCCCCCAGGGTGCCTCTCAGACACCCCAAATCACCCCAACAGGGCCTTCACGCTTTTGCTCCTCCAGGGCCCATGGCGGGCGGGGGCCAGCCCCGCAGGCGGGGGCCAGCCCCGCAGGCTGGCACTAACCTTGTTGCCATTGTTGTACATGGCGACCAGACAATAGATGTGGTAGATGTGGCCGCATCTGGACAGCCTTCCCACCAGGTCAGGCTTGACTGTTGGCTGCAGGCCCTTGTAGCCCGAGGGGGCCGTGAGGCGCTCCATACAGATGGTGCAGTCCTGGGGGTGGGAGGGGACAGAGCAGAGAGGCCTTCAGCGCTGGCCCAGCCTGGGAGGCCAGAGGATCTCCGCAGTGATTCTCGCATGATCAGACGTCTGGTGAGGTGTCCCTGTTCCTCTTCTAGAAAACCCACAAACCAGGATATATACAGACATGCCTTTGGGAATCGAAATCTAGGTTTATCTCACTTTACACAGCAGAAAAGTTCCTGGAATAATCGCTGCTGGTGGCACAGGCCACCTGGGGCTCACCACCAAAACTGTCCTCTCCTTTAGGGCGATGATGAGACACTGTCCTTCCTTGGTGTTCTCCAATGGCTTGCGGAGGAAACAGACACTTGCTGACAGACCCTTTATTTAAGCTGAACGTTTGCAAAGCAATTGTATCTCAAGTGTACCAGAAGGGCTGCTGTTTAAATAAGTCAACAAGAGGCACGCCTGGGTGGCTGGGTCAGCTCAGCGTCTGACTTTGGCTCAGGTCATGATCTCACCGTTTGTGAGACGGAGCCCTGAATGGGGTTCCGTGCTGACAGCCTGGAGCCTGCTTTGGATCCTGTGTCTTCCTCTCTCTGCCACCCCTCCCTCACTGCATATGCTCCCTCCCTCTCCCCACCCTCAAAAATAAAATAAATACTGGGGTGCCTGGGTGGCTCAGTCGGTTAAGCATCCAACTTCAGCTCAGGTCACGATCTCACAGTGCATGAGTTCGAGCCCCATGTTAAGCTCTGTGCTGACAGCTCAGAGCCTGCAGCCTGCTTGGGATTCTGTCTCTCTCTCTCCCTCTGTCTCTCCCCCACTCAACGCTCTGTCTCTCTCTCTCAAAAATAAATGAACATGAAAAAACTTTTTCAATAAGAAAATAAACATTAAGGATAAATAAATCAATAAGCCTACAAGAGGATTTCTCAACCTTGGCACTATTGACATTTGGGGTTGGTAATTCTTTGCTGAGGGGGCTGTCCTGGGCACGGTGGCTATTTAGCACCCTTGACACCAAGCCCATTGGTTCCCTCCCCAGCCCCTCTCCCACCCCCCATGGAGGCTCCCTCTGGCTGAGGGAAACCGCAGACTGCTCTCAAGCCATTTAAAAGTCAGTTCCCATGGGGCGCCCGGCTGACTCAGTTGGTTAAGTATCCGGCTCTTGATCTCAGGGTCATGAGTTCAAGCCTCCTTAAAATAATAATAATAAGTAGAAGAAGAAGAAGAAATAAACGTCAGTTCCCAGGGCTTGTCATGCCGTTTTGCTTACATTCAGACTACTTGCGGAAGGTGGTTGGTCTTCCCGGCCGGTCTGCTGGCTCCCAGACCGTAACCTTGCCAAAAGAACCCTGTGTCAGCTCTGGCTGACTCTCTGTAACACAGCCAGGGGCATGAGAAATCAGCTCCTGCAGCCTGTGGAAAAGCCAGCCCAGTGAGGAGGAGAAGCTGTGGGTGAACCCTGCCTCCCCCTGCTGGCACCTCATCTGCTTGCCCCTGAGAGGTGCGGGCTTTCTGCAGATACTTCTGAGCACTTCCTCTGGGGTTTTTTTACCTGTGGGGGGACAGGGTGGTCGGTGGGCCACAAGACCAAGTGATGAAAGAAATCAAACAACCTCATCAGGCTGAGCATGGGTTCAGGAGCAACCCAGGCTCAAAACAGGCAGGGGAGAATTCATTCTGCAACATTTAAGAATCTGAGGAATGGGCAGGAGGAGGAAGAGCTAGGTGTCTGGGAGGAGAGAAGATTAGTGGGGTGTGCCTGCCTGTCTTTCCTCGCAGTCTTTTTTCGACAGTCCCCCCCCACGCTTCCCAGGAGGCCTAACCACCAAACCCACTTTTTTTTTTTTTTTTTTTCAACATTTTTTTTTTTTTGGGACAGAGAGACAGAGCATGAACAGCGGGGGAGGGGGCAGAGAGGAGGAGACACAGAATGGGAAGCAGGCTCCAGGCTCTGAACCATCAGCCCAAGGAAGAACCCTGACAGCGGGCTCAACCCGTTTCCCATGTCGTGACCTGGCTGAGAGATGGGACGGCAACCAACGCGCGCTATGCGCGCACCGAAGCCCGCAACCGCACGCACTTTTGCAGCACAGAGATGGGTGGTGTGGGGCTCTCTTCCGTGTAATCAAAGAGCCTGGGCATGCCCAAACGATGGTAATTGAGTATGTAGTAACACTGATAAGCCTGATGGCGTTAAAAAAAAAAAAAAAAAAAAAATGAGGTAGGCTTATCACATGCTTTTTACAGTGTGCCGAGTACTGTCTCGGTCTGTAATGTGGTGTCAAAGTGATTTTATTTTCATGGGAAAGCAGGAAGCTATGCCCACAGCTTCCTTGGCCGCTGACGGTGCGGGAGACCAGCAGCAGGGAAGCATCCTGACAGGCTGCAGCGATTCTGGAATTTCTCTGGGGGCTGGACCTCTAGGAGGCAGCCCAGTCTGAAGGCAGGAGACAGGATGATACAACCTTAAAAGGGACCAGTTCCTCCCTGGGGACCCCTCTTAGCTTCTCTCAGCTTCTATTTTCTCACCTGTGAGATCAGGCAAAGCAAGAGTGCCCACTCAAAGGGCTGCTTTGACAATTAAAGAAGCTAATGGACGCATAGACCTTTAGTACTTTTCCAGCTAAGGGTCCAACATGTGCTATTAATAATCACAGGAAGCGCGGGAAAGTGTGAAATCCTGTCATTTCCTATCAGACTATGAACAGGGCAATTGAGTTCATTTAAGCAGAGAACTTTTGATGGAGTAGAAAAGTAGGGCAAGGGTTTGAGGAAGCAGATCATGCAACCGCCAAAACCCAGGATGCAGGCCCTTCCTTCCCACCAGCCCGCTTCTAAGAATGAAGCTTCTGTTCATTGAGAGCCTCTTGCTTGCCAGGCCCTGGGCCCAGTTACAATATACATGAGATCTCACGGACCCTTCAAAACAAGGTTGTAAGGTGGGGGCCTGGGGTGACGGTCAAGACATTTAACAACCAACACCAGCAGCCAGAAAGACCGGCCGCAGAGCTGAGACAGGGTAGACACACATCTGGACCCCCTGGTGACGGGACTGTGCACAGGGAGGAAGGAGTGCCTGAAGGAAGGTTCGAATGGTCAGCCTAGGGGCTCTGGGGGGACACAGGGCAGTGGTCACTCCCTGTCATGGATGCGTTCTGGGGCACACCTGCCCCATACTTGTTGTGAGCATTTTTTACCCCATTGTAAAGGAAAGAAAAAGGGCTCTCTGCGGTCACATGACTTGGAAGTGTCACAGTCAGGACTGGAACCCAGGCTGTTCTGGCTCCAGGGCCACAGTGACAGTCCCCTGTATCGTATTTTATGCGTCACGTTTGGTGGTTCTGTGTCTCTATATTTCCGGACCGTGTTTTTGCACTTCTTAAGGTGCCTCCCTCTCACGCACAATCCACTTTGGTGCAATCAGCAGAACAGGGGTAGTTGGGCCCGCTTAGCAGACGCAGAAACGAAGGCACAGAGGGTGAAGCCACGGGTATGACCTTGGGTGATGGCGGCAAAGCCACGGCCGAGGCCCACGCCTTTGACTCCCACACCCCCTAAGACAAGGAGGCTGATACCTTTCTTGGCCTGCTTTTTGGTGGTCTTGCGGCTCGTGTTGGAAACCCCCGGGATGGATTTGATTTCGCTCTTGCTGACCGGGGGCGGGTGGAGAACCAGCTTGGGCGGCCTGGTGAGGCACACGGGCAGCCCGGCTGCACTCATGAGAATCCCGGTGATTCCTGGAAGGGCAGGGCGTGAGCTCGGACTGCAGAGTTAGTTCCCAGCATCCCACCAACCGCCCTCCCCAGGAACCCGCCCCCCTGTTTCCCCGGCACAAGCTCTCGTGACTCACTCAGCCTCCCCTGGCCCGCGCTGCCTGCCCCAGAAATGTGTGCGTTTGCTCCTCTCCAACAGAAGCTGTGCTTCTTCCCGCCCTCCCCACCCCGCTCCCAACATCCACATTTGCTTTCATTCAATTCTTTCTTTGCGGTAAATGCTCACCACCTCCTTGGCCCGAGCTTTCCTTTTCCCCCGCCTGCCGTAAAGCAAGCGCTTACCTGCCAGGGCCGGATTAACAGGACTGGACCCATTGAGGTTCTTAACTGGCACAGTGGGGACCCTGTGGAAGGAAAGGGCAGACACATTACGGTTTTGACAAGTGGGGTGGGGTTGGAACCCCCAAAATCCCCTCACTGAGGGGTCCCTTTTCCGACAGAAACTCCTTATCTCTATTCAAGGCAGAGTCGGTTCTTAGCACCACAAGCAGGAAATGTTAACGTTTAAAATCTAAGTACGACCATGTCACCCCTCCCCTCGGAACCCCCCAAATTCGCAATGGCTCCTTAAGTCTCTCGAGGTCCCGGCAAAGCCCACACAGCTCTGTGTGACCTGCCAACGTCCCCCCCCACCGTGCTCAACCCTCATCTTCCTGGTCTCCTCACATATCCCTCACCATTTTATCCTGCTCCATCTGGGCCACACTGCTGCCTCAGGGCCTTTGCCTATGTGGCTCCTTCTGCCTGAAATGCTCTCTCTGCCTCACCTCCTCCTACAGATCCTTTGGTCTCGGCTCACCTTTTTGTGAGGTTCCTGAGACCATCTCATTTAATACCAAGATCCACCCCTCCATCCCACCCCGGGACTCTCAAGCCCTCTTGCCTTACTCTTTCGTTTTTGTTTTGTTTCCCCCAGGGAACGGACGGTTTAAAAAAATTTTTTTAAGTTTATTTATTTTGAGAGAGAGAGAATGAGCGGGGGAGGCACAGAAAGAGAGGGAGACAGAGAATCCCAAGGAGGCTCTGGGCTGTAGCATGGAGCCTGACCCGGGGCTCGAACTCACGAACCGCGAGATCATCACCCGAGCCGACACCAAGAGTCGGAGGCTCAACCGACTGAGCCACTCAGGTGCCCTGGAACTGATGGTTTTTAAAAAATAAGCTGTTGCTTTACTCTCGCCCCCTCCAGAATCAAAACTCCACACGGACAAATATCCTCACAGCCTGACACTAGCAGGCATTCAGTGAGTGTTTGTGGAGCGAATGAAAAATGGAGAGGCAAGTTCAAGCCCGGGTGGGTGTACCAAGTGGCTCCTGAGAAGCTTTTAAAAAGACAGAGCCCCAGGCCTGAATCAGAATTCCCATGGGGG